TTCGTCATCCATTCACCAGCTATCTGTTCGGGTCGCTTCCCGTTTCTGTCTGTTGCAAGTAAGGATGCTGTGAACATTCACGTATAAATCTTCGGGTGGACATACATTTTCATTTCTGTAGGCACCTAGGAGTGGGACTGCTAGGATCGTAAGTGTGTATTTAATTTGCAAGAATTTGCCAAGTGTCTTCTAAAGTGGTTGCACCATTTTGCATTTCCACTAACGGTGTGTAAGTGTTCCAGTTGCCCTACATCTTTGCTGACACTTAGTACTGTCAGTCTTTCGAATTCCCACCATTGTAGTTGGTAGCACTATACCTTTAAGATTCAATGCATGGGGCTCCGCGCGCGGTGGCTCACACCTGTAATCCTAGCACTCTGGGAGGCCAAGGCGGGCGGATCCTTTGAGCTCAGGAGTTCGAAACCAGCCTGAGCAAGAGCGAGACCCCGTCTCTACTAAAAACAGAAAGAAATTTGCTGGACAACTAAAAATACATAGAAAAAATCAGCCAGGCATGGTGGCACGTGCCTGTAGTCCCAGCTCCTAGGGAGGCTGAGGCAGGAGGATTGCTTGAGCCCAGGAGTTTGAGGTTACAGTGAGCTAGGCTGACTCCACGGCACTCTAGCCCGGGCAACAGAGTGAGGCTGTGTCTCAAAAAAAAAAAGATTCAATGCATGTTGCTGTGTGTACATCTAGCTTGCGGCTTTTAACTGCTGTGTGGTCCTCCACGGTGGATACCTGCCACATGCTACCTTCCACTCCCTCATTAATGGATTCCCAGGTTTCTTTTAATTTCCACCACAGCAAATAACTCTGTGACAGACACCTCATCCTTGCGCCTTTGTAACCCGCATAATTATTACTCTTGTGTAGACATCCAGGAGTGGAACTACTGGGCCCTACTGTGTACATATACTTAGTTCAACCAAGGAATGTCAAATTACTTCCCAAAATAACTACATCAATCCACATGTACACCAGCTGGGCTGTGTTTCCAGATCCCTGCTAATACTTGGGTTATTTAACTTTCAAAGCTTTTCAAAAATCCATCTAATAAATATAAAGTGATACGCTATTTGTACTTGCATTTCTTAGATAATGAATGAGTCCGAGCATCTTTTTGTATGAGTTTTCTTGGGTTTCCTTCTATTTAAATCTCCTGTTCAAATCCTCTGCTCATTTATTTGCAGGAATTTCCTCGAATATTTGAGATCACAATCCTGAGTCAATATCACAGATTTTGACCATCATCTCCCAGGCTATCACCCATCAGTTTGCTTTATCCACAGTGTCTTTTGTTAAAAAGAAACCGTTAACTTTGATATAATCAAACTTTTTTTTTTTCCTTTAGATTAGTCCCTCCGAAGTTTTAAAAAGTCCTTCCTCATCCCTAAGTCACAAAAATGTTCTCTGCCATTATCTTCTGTTAGCTTTGTAGTTTGACCTTTTCCTTGCAGGTCTTAAAGCCATTTGGTGTTACGTACCATGTTTTAGAACTTAGGGTCTAAAGTTAGGGTCTCACTCTGTTGCCCTGGCTGGACTGCAGTGGCCTGATCATAGCTCACTGCAGCCTTGAACTCCTGGGCTCAAGTGATCCTCTCGCCTCAGCCTCCGCAGTAGCTAGGAATACAGGTGAACGCCACCATGCTTCGCTGATTTTTCTTATTTTTTTCTTTTTTACAGACAGGGTCTCACTATGTTGTCCAGGCTGGTCTCAAACTCCTGGCCTCCAGTGATCCTCCCACCTCAGACCTTCCGAATGGCTGGGATTACAGGCATGAGCCACCATGCCCAGCTACACATACCATTGATATACCTACTTGAGTGATGGGAAAACTGAAGCACACAGGAGGTGAGTAACTCTAAGATTATACAATTCAGTAAGTGACAGAGCTGGGATTCAGACCCAGGCAGCCTGGCCTCCGAAACTGTGTCCCTCAGCTGCTGTGTCAACCTGCTTCTCCATTGACGAGGATCCATGATTCAGAAGTTGCTGCGTGCAGAGCCTTTAAATGCCAATCTTTCACTCAGTCCTCCTGACAGCCCTGAGCAGCAGGGCCTGTTATTACCAGATGAGGGAACTGAGGCTCCCAAAATATAAAGTGGCAAAACCAGATCTTTCCTACTCCACCCTCTGTGCCTTTGAACACTAACCTACAGTCTCCCCCTATAAGAACCAGGGGTGAGGGAGGAACCATCCTCAACTCTCCCCATCACCCCCACAGATACAGTTGATCCTCATTATTCACAGATCTCGTATTTTCCAATGTGTCTACTTGATCAAATCCACAGGTAGCCCCCACATCAATATTCTCTGGGCTTATGTGGGCATTTGCAGACGTGCACGGAGTGGTGAAAAATTCAAGTAGCCTCATGCGCATACTCGCAGCTGAGGACGACCAAGGCGACACTCTGCCTTCCTATTTTAGCTCTCATACTATAAACAGGAGTCCATTTCGTGGTCTAGTTAGTACCACACTTGCCACATTTTTGTACTTTTTGTTGGTGATTCACTGTTTAAAATCGCTCCGTGCTGGGCGTGGTGGCTCACGCCTATAATCCTAGCTCTTTGGGAGGCCGAGGTGGGAGGATCACTTGAGGTTGGGGAGTTCAAGACCAGCCTAAGCAACAGTGATACCCTGTCTCTACTGAAAATAGAAAAATTAGCCAGGCGTGGTGGTGTGGGCCTGTAGTCCCAGCTACTGGGGAGGCTGAAGCAGGAGGATCCCTTGAGCTCAGGAGTTTGAGGTTGTTGTGAGCTATGATGACATCACTGCACTGTAGCCTGGGCAACGGAGCAAGAACTTGTCAAAAAAAAAAAGAAAAAAAGAAAAAGAAAGAAAGGAAAAAAAGGTGCTGAAGTGCTGTTATTGTTCCTAAACACAAGAAGGCTGTGATGCTCCTTATTAGAGTACGTGTGTTAGATAAATTTTGTTCAGGCATGAGTCATAATGTCCTCAGCCAAGAGTTCATTGCTAATGAGTAACAATGTATGAGGGCTGCCCAGAAAGTATCCAGCCATGTAACTGTTCTCGCTATATTAACAATGGCTAGATACTTTCTGGAAGCCCTCATATATTAAATAAGGCGTCTTTAAAGAAAAACACACATAAGACAAGGTTACATATGGATCAACAGATAAAAACATTGTGACCAGAGGCTCATAGGAACCGAAACCTGTATTTACCCCTAGGAGCGATACTTCAGTATTTGCTAATTCAGTGTTCCAGGTGACTTTATAAAACATAACTACCGTGAAGAATGAGAATCGACTGTATCCCTACGTTTCTTTAATGTTACTGCAAAACTCTCACTCCAATCCGTCCGCAACTCTTTGTGGCTGTTGGCCAAGCCTGATTACTACAGTGGGCTCTGGGCTGGTCTCGTGGAGCCCACCGTCCCCTCCCTGGCCCCGCCTGTCTTCTCCCCTCACTCGGCAGCCAGAGTGATGAGATGATCTCCCATGTGATTCCTCCCTTGTTCACCTCTCCTCAAGGCTCCCCGCCACGTGGGAAGGAAGACTGACCTCCTTACCACAGGCTAAGAAGATTCTGTATATTTGGTTCCAGCTAAATTCCATTCCCCCGACCCCCACCCCAACATCCCCTCTCCTTCCTCTCTGCTTCACTTTTCCCCAGGGCTTGCATCACCACCCGACAGCCTAATTCTTTATTCATCTTTTTTTATATGGTGTCTCTCTGAAAAGAATGTAAGCTCTACAAGGACAGAAGTTTTTGCCACTTTAATGCACTGCTTATCTCCTGTGTCTTCAACAGTGCCCGGCTCATGCCAGGTACCCATATTTGTTCAATAAATAAACAAAATTGTATTTACCAACACCCAGGCAGGCGAGCTCCTGCACATGGTCAGCACCGAATCAATGTCTGCTGAGAAAAATAAGTAAGTGCAACACTCTTTTTGGACACTCTGCAGATTGGCGGGGTTGTTATCAACATCCTAAGATAATCTTTTATAGGGAACCATGCGAATAATAACAGTGGTCAGCACTTGACGTTTATCCTTGTAATGATGCTGTGAGGAAAAATTACAAGCCCATTTTACAGATGAGAAAGCACAGAAGTTGTGAGTTTTATGACTTGTCCACAGCAAGGACTTGCATAACAGCAGTGGCTGAGCACTTAATCAGTACATATTGGGGTCATGGACAAAGACGTAACAGCATGGAACATTGAATAAGGATGCTCGTGGAGGAGATACAGGAAGGGATGTTTGGTGGACGATACAGTTGAGGCATGGAGGCCCTTCGGGATGCTGAACCCATAACTGTAGACTGGAGTGTCATTCATTATTAGTAAGGATGGGGATTCAGAGAGGGAGGAATGTTGGCAGAGGCCAGGCGTTGGCAGAATGTGAGATGTATCTTGGATCAGGACATCCGGAAGACTCAGAACAGTGTGAGAACAAACAGTCTAAGGACCCAAGGTTAGCTGTGATGAATCACTCAGAGGTGCATAGAATGTTGTAGGGGTAGAAGATTGTGGGCACAAGAGAATATTTTCAGGATGAAATATCATGGGAGTCTTGAACATTCTTGTAAAACATATAAGGGTTTAGAATACTGGCATTGAAAAAATATTTGGAGGATTACAAGATGTCAAGGATGGTCTGTTCACAGGACGCATAATATTGTTGAGACAGGCAGATGAAGGTATTTAAGAATGTTGCCACAGACAGAACGTTCCGGTGGTGATCTGGGTTTGCAGTAGTCGTGCTGATACAGTTGGGAGAACTGGGATGTCGTCTGGACTGCGACATGCAGGTTGCCAGGATGTTTCAGAGATGCAATGTCTGGGAGACCACAAGGCGGGCAGCGCCTGAATGCTTCTGAAACGTGGAATGTCAGCTGGGATTGAGCATTTTTGAGAACGTGGATCGCTGTTCAAATAGAACACCTTGGGAGGAAGGGGCGGAGAAGGGCCGAGCAAACAATGTGAGCAGGTCATGGGGAGAGGAAGGGAGCAGGTAGGTTAGCACAGGTTTCATTGTGGGCCCTTTGTCCATTTGTGCTCCGGGGTGTTGTGTTTTTGGATTGTTTCTTGGATCCACGAAACATATTTTGAGACTCGGGTGTAGACGCCAGGCCGGTTGGGCTGTCCACATGGGAAGTCTCCCCAGGAGATGATGCCGTGGAGGCTTCCGTTACAGACCAGGGGGCCTCCGGAGTCACCCTGAGTGGGGGAGAAAGAGAAAGGTGGGGTCTTTGCAAGGGCTAAACAAAGGCAGAGACAGAAAGATGTGGGAGAGAATGAAAGATGGAGAGACACAAAGAGAGACTGAGAGATGGAGTCAGACACGCACAGAGCAACAGAGACAGTGAGAGACAGAGAAGACAAGACAGACACAGAGGGACAGAAAGACGGGGCTAGACAGAGAGAGAGAGAGACAGAGAGAGAGAAGCATCTCTGTTTTTCTCTGTCCCTCGGTCTCATTGAAGTGGTGACAGCTCACCTCAAACACCCCTTCTTGGTTCCCTGGCACTGAATCCCACCTCACACTCCCTGTCCCCCACCAGCTGACCCTGCTCCTGCTTTAAGGCTCCTTTGTACCTCTTACTATTGCATTAACCCCCCCAAATCCAGGAAGGGTATGCAACACGCGTGTACTTCCGCTTCTCTCTCTGGGCCCGAGGCAGACATGACTGAGCTATCAAGGCACATATCGTTGAAGTATTACAGCATCACACTCTTTCTCACTGAACCGATACTCAATCTCAGAAGCCTTCTCTATAGACACATGTTGGTTTTGCTCATGTAATATCCATTTTCCCTTGTTTTGGTAACAGCCTCCTCATTGGTTTCACTGGGGAACTGCCCTTCCCCACTCAATCCGTGCAGTCTGTCCCTGCCCCTCCCCAGCTCCCACAGTTAGCCACGTTACTCAGCGTGGTCCGTCAGAGACTCCCACAGGCTGGCCAGAGCGATGGCTCAGGACTCACGACTTATGTCAGCACAGTGAGAATTGCACTCAAGACATTTGTGTAAACTTATGAAAAAGAGATGTTCTCTCTTTTCAGTAGAGTTGCTCAGAAGGTGGGATGTAAGCCCAAAGCTGCTGGGGCCATCTTGCCATGGGAACAGCCTAACTGAGAATGAAGCCAGAACAGAAGAAAGAAGAATACTCCAAGCATATCACTTGCACACCTGGATCCATCTATGCCTAAAGTCAGACACCCCTAAATTTTCAGTGACAAAAGTCAGGGTTTTTTTGTCTCAAGCCAGTATGACTTGGGTTTCTGTCACTTGAAACTAAAGGAAATCTCCACCTTTATGTGTCTCAATGTAGGGCTCTGGACACTTAGTCAAAGCTGGGACTTAAGATGAGTTCTATCTGCCACCCCTGGGTACTCCCTTTCTGACCTTGTATGCAGACGACATCTCCTCTTGGTTCCTGCAGGCTGGAAGCAAATCCTGTCCCCCAGTGCCTGTCGCCACCTCCATGTGGGCCTTCCCATCCAGCCATGGCAACCCACCCACCTCTTGGCCTCACCTCACAGGAGTCCTTGCCGCCCTCTTTTGTGCCAGCACATAACATGTTCGGAGTGATCTTCCCCGGGTAGACTTGATGACACTCCTTGTCCGAGCGTAGCTCGATGTTGGCACACTGTAGGGTTTTGGGGTAACTCACTGGGGAAGAAAGAGAGAAGGTCTAAGGACATCTGACCTAGGCAGGCTGTGGGGTGGGGGCTAAATAGGGAAGTCGGATGGCAGAATTGGTAGAAAGTAGAGATGGGAAGAGAAAGATGGGGATAGATGGGCACGTATCTGGGGAGAGTGATGGGAGAGACAGAAACATGGAGAGACATGGGAGAGAGGGGAAGGGGAGGGGAGGACGGGGAGGGTTGGGGCAGGGAACCGGGAGGCTGATGGGGAGAGAGGTGGAACCAGTGGTGGGGAGAGAAGACAGGAGAGAAACAGGAAGACAGAGATGGTGAGAGATAGAGAACCGGAGATGGGGGAAGCAGGAGGAG